CCCCCCCCCCCCCCAGAGTCCGTAAAACTACCAGAGCCTTCTGTTGGGGCTTCCTCAACAGTGAGACAACCCCCATGGCCATGCTTTCACCTGACCATCAGCTGGTGCACCTTTCCATGGGGGAAAATGCAATAGGGAGAGTCAGTGTTTTCTCTGGTTTTAGACTCTGGCCTTTACCATCACAGTAAGTGGTGAAAGGCTTAACTCTTTCATTTTTGGTCTGTTGCTTTAAAGCTACTCTGACCCCTGGCAGCTCAGTGCTCAGCTGAGCTCCTGACAAACAGCACAGAGAGTGACTGATAAAGGTATAAACCTACTGAATCAAAATATCTGAGGGTAGGGCATGATTTTCTATGTATATTTGAAAAAAACTGTCTAGGCAGTTTTATGTTATACCTAAAATAATAGGAGTTGGGAGAAAGAATACAAGCATATAACTAATTAAGACAATGAAGGGTCAGAATAGGGAGTAATAGAAGGCACATTAAATTATATTCTACTGCCAAAGACCTGTGTGACCTTAAGCAAACCACTTCGTCTCAGTGGGCCTGAGTGGACTCATCTATAAGATGAGTGGTTGAGTATGACAATCTTGAAAATTCCATATTATTCAGAGCTCCAATCTGCCCAATATCATACATACTTCATTGTAGCTCTTGTTTCCACATTGGCCATCCCACACTGAGGAGTAATTAACTCGCTGAGCAGAAATGGCTTATTTTCTGAATGTGGAAACTAGTTCTGGCCTATATGGCACTTCATTGAAATTCTTGCTTCCAATCTTTTAAAGGGAGTTTTAGGTAAAAGCCTCTTATCAAGGGGGGTCTCTGGGCAACACACCAATTTCCCACTTGGACTCTCAGTGTGGGCAGGTGTGTGTGTGTGTGTAGGTTGGGATGAGGATATGTAGTAAGGAGGCATGGTCTTGATAATCATGATAATCAAACACAAAGCAGATTTTCTACATTTCTATAGTTAGAGAATTGTTTTTTATTTAGTTGCAGCTTTTATTGTCTTTTAATTTTCTTTTACCTATTCTTTGCAAAATATTCAAAGAGGCTTCATTGTCATGCAATTAGGAAAATTAAGCCTGTTTTTCATTTGAGTGAGTGCATTTCATAAATGAAAAGGAGCTTCTAACAATAGCGCATCTCATTCCTGACAGTCTTCCTCTGTTAATTAGCAACTCACTCCTCAGTGGCATCCAGAATAATTAAATTTTTTAAAACTACATTGGGTTGCTAATCAAGGATGTGTTTATAGAAAATAAGGGCTTTGGAATTAAACACTGAAATTAAGCATTGCTTCTAATTAGAAGAGTGTAGGTAAAGTAATCTGGAGACAAAACTCTAAGGTGAAAAATCTTAAAGGCTGCGTGGTTTAGCCTCTAATCACAATTAGATAAGCCTAGATGTTGAAGATTTTCTAACCTAGAGACTTTCCAACATTTCACAATCCACTGAGTCAAGGATTTCTTTGATGTGGTTTATCCAAAGGTTTCATGCAACTTTGAAAGTCCGTTTCCCATCCTCTAACCTTTAATGAAAACAGAAGATTGGTTCATCTGTTTGTTTAATGCCTCCAAAGATGTGAAGGGATTCAATGTTTCACTTTTTGCTCTTCATTAAAAATTATTCTGATACTTTGCTCTCCCCTCAAAAGACAGGTTACTGTCTGCCATCTTTCTTAAGTATAATAGTACCACAGGCATTTATCCAAGGAATTCCTGTCTCTCTTAGTGTGTGTGTGTGTGTGTGTGTGTGCATGTGTGTATTATTTATTATATATATATATATTTCCAGGATATGCCTATTAAGTATCCTAATGGGCATCTTCACAGTCACAGCCCAGTGAGGTTGTAGGAAAATACAGTTGTAAGGTAACCCTTCATAGCAGCTGTTTCTCAAATTTTGGCTAAGGTAACTACCAGCATAAACATTGCCTGGAATATCAGAAACTTCTGAATCTGAGTTGCTGGCAGTTGGACCCGGGAATCTGCAAACTAAATAAACACCCAAGGTGATGACTGTATGCTGGTGTTTGAGAAACACTCTTCTAGGGAAGGAAAGTATTCCTCTATGCATTTGATCCAGAAACTGTTCTTTGAGCCAGAAATCATTCTTTCTCCTTCCCTCTCCTCTTCCCATTCCCCAGAGTCCCATATTTAATGCAGCATAGTAAGTAATCTGTATGACAGGAGCCTTTTATTCAGAACTCATAAATATGAGTTAAGATGTTTCTTTATCAGTTTCAGTCTTCTTAACTCCTCTTTCTTTGAGGGGATGAAATTTCCCCTCCCTCACAGGACTATGGGAGGCACTGTCCTGTAGCTGATGGTAGTACAGGCTTTGGGGTCAGACAGACCTAAATTTGAATCTTTTGTGGGAACTTGGTTACATTTCTCAACCTCTCTAAGTCTCAGTTTCTTCCTTAGTAAAATGCAATTAATAATTTCTGTGTCACAAGACTGTTGTAAGGATTAGAGTTGGTCTTGTTTATAAAGAGGTTAGCACAGTGTCTGGCCATGGTAAGAGCCTGATAAATACTGAATGTTATTATCCTTCATAAATTTAGCCCAGAGTTGTTCTTCAGTCTCCATAGTTGTTCCTTGAGGAGAAGCACATGGTTAAATGATTCTTCCAATCTTGATTGTCTAGGGACTCTTCTAGAAATTCTGGCATTCAGATTTTCTGAAATAGTCATTTGGATATAGACAATTGAATGGAGCTAAGAAAACTGCCCAGTTGAGAACAGACATCCCAATAACCTGTATGTACTTTGGCAGGAAGTTTATAAATGTTAAGATAGATTACGGCCATCTTACTGATGATTGAATCAAAATGAAAAGAATTAAATTCTTATTACATGCACCAGGGACATCATAGACTCTTAATGTCTCTTAAATCATGAGCAGTGTGAGAATCTGATGGAACCTACAAACCATTCCCCCCAAAATGCCAGACACGCACTCCCAAACATTTCTGCATCTAGTTTCAAAGAAGTTCATGGACCCCATGTATTTCATAACAATCCATGGAGCCCCTGCTTTATAAATAGTCCATTAGGAATTAACTGAGATTAATGAGGCTAGATCATTCTTAAATCACTTTCTCCTTATACAGAAATAGAAGGTTTGAAATTTTAGAAGTCAGAGATTACACTTTTAAAATTTCAGTTCTTAGTCAAAATAACATCACATCTGTTCAGCTAGATGGGTGTTTCTACTATCCTGGTCACTAGACAAGGATGGGCTAGGTCTGGCTAGTTACATTTGCATGCATCTGATAGGTGTTGGGTAGGGAAGACAAGATTTTAAGGATGGTTTTCTTTTAAAAGCTCCCTGGAGCTAAAAGCTTATATCCTAAAATCATAAATATCATGATCTTGCTTCACTACGTGTGTGTAACTACTTGCCTTTATAGGACCTTATTTCTTTCACTCTGGACCTCTTACCACCAACCTCAGCAATTCGTGTTAGATGATCTATATATGCTGATACCTTCAGTTTCAAACTGGAGGATTTTATAAAGGGAAAAGGTTCGAAAAAAATGATCTGATCTGACCCCTCCGTTCTATAGATGATAAATTGAGCCCTCTTAATTTGCCTAAGGTCACATAGCTAATGATACGCCTAGAACTTGAAGCCAGGTGCTCCTTGCACTTTTCACTGCTTAGATTATCTTTTCTCAAATTTGGTTTGAGTCTGCTGATGCCAGTCAAAGCTTGTGTCTTTAGACTTTGCTCTCTGTCCATCCCCTTCCTATTACAACTGGACTCAGATTCTGAACATAGCTTTTCTGTTGGATTCAAGAGCTTCAGATTTCCCTGTTTCTGACTGGGCATCTGGATTTGCTGTTCCTTTATCAGTATCTTTCCAGCCCCTCCAAGTAGGTAGACTCTTGATACAAGCCTTACTAGGCCTATCTTTCTTAGCCGCTGTGGCCGTTACATAACTGAGATACTGGGGGCTAAACCACAACTCCACAGCTGGCTCCAGGGCTCCTGGAACAATGCTGGACTCTCCTCAGCAGCTGCAGGGCTTTTCCAGCTATGGCCCAGGCCAAGGAGTTCTGTTCTTCTACTACTGTGAACTTCACCTCATCTACTGAACATGACATGAAGGAACTGCTTTGTCCTCTCTGTAGAGAATATGGATGTTCTTCTAAGATAAATTCCTTATTGGGAAGGACAATAGTAATTTACAAGTTTTAACACATCCTCTATCATGCAACCACAGCACCTGACTTAACATTTAAAGATTTCTCACCACGCAACATCGGAACATTTTTTCCTCTGTATTAAGTATTAGACTATTGAATAGCTATTATGAAGGGGAAAATGTTGCTAAATCTCTTTTTGGTAACATACACTAAAATAAATTCCAGGGGGATTTAGAACATAAATATGGTAAAAGAACCATAATAAAAGACATATAAATAAATGTGCATATAATTTGGAGTTGTAAAGATTTTTCTGAGCATAAAAAGGAAAAAACCTTGAAGAGACTGACAGAGATAACTGTATACATATTAACTTCATTACATTAAAAATTACATGTAAGTAAAATTAAAAGGTAAATGTCAAACTAACCAAGCATTAGTAGCTTTTCTAACTAAGGCCATAAAACAAAATCAAGGTCATAAACAATCACAGATGATAAATGGCAAAAGAATATAAAATATTGAGCTTCATTAGTAATGAAATAAAAGCATATAGAGATGAGATGCCATTTTCACCTAACAAAGTAGCAAACGTTTTAAAATATAATAAAAGTAGGTTTGATAAGGGTTTAGGAAACTGGCACTCTCACACATATACTGCTGGTGGGAATACAAAATGGTACCATCTTTATCAACAGTAACTTGTCAATATGTATCAAAATCATTAAAACATGCATGCCCTTTGACCCAAAAATTCCAATCGTAAGTGTTTATCTTAAGGAAATTATCAGAAATGATAACTGATATCTATGGACAAGGGTGTTTGAGAATGAAATGGCCTTAATAAAATTTGCATTTATATAATGGTATACTACAAAAAGATAAAAGTCCTGTTTTTAATCCTCATGTTCCCTGATGTGTTATATCAGCTCTAGGGTGGGGCTTATATAATCTAAAAAAAAGGGATGTTTTTTAAACTTATTATTCCTAACACTACCCACAGGAAATAATCTGGACAGAGTCTTTCTTGGTGGGAAGAAACAGAAGTGAGAAGGCCTTATAGCTGAGTGGTAGGAGGACTGGAGAGGACTGAGTGGGAGGAGACCATGAGTTTTTTTAAAGTCAAGGAAGATTGATTTAGATATGAGAAAGTGGTCTTAATATAGGCGGATTAAAAAAATTACAAAATAGGGCTTCCCTGGTGGCGCAGTGGTTGAGAGTCCGCCTGCCGATGCAGGGGACGCGGGTTCGTGCCCCGGTCCGGGAAGATCCCACATGCCGCGGAGCGGCGGGGCCCGTGAGCCATGGCCGCTGAGCCTGCGCGTCCGGAGCCTGTGCTCCGCAACGGGAGAGGCCACAACAGTGAGAGGCCCGCGTACCGCAAAAAAAAAAAAAAATTACAAAACCGTGTGTGAATTAAGATTCCAATTTTGCAAGATAAGTGTGTGTATTAAATCTACATTGAGATGTTGACAGGAAGAGAGCTTATTTTTTATTATTTTTTGTAGTTTTCTACTGTAACCATATATTCAGAAAAAAATATATGCTATGAAAAAGAAGGAGAAACAGCTTTTTACAGATGACCAGACGCTTTCTGGGCCTTACTTTGCTTCCAGGGCCAGAGCGAAGATGCCAGCAGCCAGGGGTGCTGAGGCAGAGGTGCCTGTGTGGGTCTCTGTGCAGTCGTTGTGCAGGTCAGCACTCGTCTGAGGGGCACCAGGAAAGAAAGAAACATGGGAGAACATGTGAGGAGTGTGATCCTGTCCCCGGGGGTTAACCCTACCGAGGGCTGCATCTGTTAGGATCAGGAAGCCCAGCTGATTCGATTCCCTACTTCCTCCTCTAAACTACAGGCGGATGTTTGCCATCTGCTGATATTTTAGCTCACTTTCCTCTATATGCAACTTGTCTATAATTCTGGCATCAGAATGCCTTTTTCTGGGCATGAAGTCCTCCCACTATGAATTTCTTTTCTGAGATTCCCAAATGAAATGCTGTCTGTAAAAAAGGGAGTGTTTCAAAATCACTGTGAATCATGCTGGCCCATTAATCATCAGGTCCATTGTGTTTGGCCTGGCATATTTAGAAATTTTGCCTCATGCACAATTCCCTTTTGCCTTCAGATTGACATTTGACTGCCTCTTCAGCACGAGGAGGTAAAGCCATCCTGATCTGGGCCACTTGAACTATTTGCACAAAACGTGTTTAGTGTGTAGTTTGCACTCACTGTTGACGTAATCTGATGGCCATGAGTTAGTGTCACATTTGTACTTTGATGAACATGGTGAGTTTTTCAAATGAAAGTGTGCTGGACTTAGATCTGGGCTCAAATTCTAAACCTGCCACTCAGTAGATGTGTCCCATGGGCAAGCCACTTGGTTTCCCCATCTGTCAAATGAGGTTGATATTTCTTGACTCATATTCTGAGGCTGAAATGAGATCGTGTCTGTGAAAGCATTTTCACACAATGTGATTGCACATAAGGAATTACCCAGGTTAATTTTAGCTTAGTGAAGAGGTTGCTGAGATGAAGGGAAGAAACCAAGAGCCTTCCGATTAGTCTGCCTGAGGACCACAGTGTTGTTGGTTGAACAAGTACTTGGGCCAAAGGATTACTAACAAGACACCCACCCAGGCTCTCACACTATGATTTTTAGCTAGAGATTTCAAGGTGTGGGAGGGAGGTGCAAAAAAACCAGTTTGTTCTATTATCACCTCCTTTGGCTTCCCACTTGGAGTCGCTGAATATCTCAAGTTCTGGTGGCCCTGTTCCTCTGGGGGCTGCGGAAGCAAGGTTGCCCTTTTTACCTGTTGACGCAAGTAAGCCCCAGAGATGACTGTGCTGAGGAAGAGGTTTGCGTAAGACAAAGGCTATGTTAGTGCAACTGTCTCAAATAGAATCCACCAGCTGTCTCTTCTATGGCTCATTTACCTAAGGAGGGATCTTTACAAAGATGGAAATTCTTCCTCCTGCTTCACAGCAGAGTGGATCAGATGAGGGACTGTCTATGACATGGTGACTCTGAAATGGACCACAGGCCATTTTTTGAAAAGCCACTCTGAACACCCACAGGGCCATCAAGAGCCAGTGAATGCAAGTGGGGGCTGTGAATGCAAGTGGGGCACATGTCTGGTAGGCTCCTTTACAGCTGGGTATAAGATATACCTGCCGTAAAGAACCCCTAGGTAGAATGTTACTGTCTCTTTGAGTAATTGAAGATATGGGCATGAGAGGTAGGCCAGGGCTTCTAAGTTGACACCGTAGTTTTACTGTCTAAACTAGAGTAGGTTGCAGAAACAGGCAGTTCCAGAAGAGTGATCCTGCATGAAGATCGTGGTTCTGACAATTTTGTTGAGATGCCATTAATATGAATTTTACACACATTCCAAGGGCTAATTATTAGGCAGCTTACCCACAATCTAATTGGATCATGACCTGGTTTTTTATTGAGATTAGGATCTACATACTTTAGCTGGTTGGTTCTTTCTGTGTCAGGAGTTAAGTTTGAGGCTTTCAATTTTTAAATGAAAAGAAGTGCCTCTCTTTGTTCTCAAAGCCCCCGAATGGGCCTTCATCATCATGCCCTTGAAGGGAAATCCAATAATTGCCCTTGGCAGTCTGACTCATGGAAGTGAAGGCACAGCCAAGCGGGGGCTGGAGATGTTCTCTGAGCATATAACCTTCCTAAGCTGCTTATTTGGATGCTGAGAAGTTCACCTCAGGGGAAATTTAGACTGTTATTTTCCTGTAGGTCGTCCATCCTTAGGAGACATAGCTGGTGTATGCTCTGTATTTTTATCATCTGCTAAAGGGCAAGGCAGACATTTTCCCTGCTATTAAAGTATCAACAAGTACAAGGGTGATAAAGCTCCAACAACCCTAAAATCTCCTTTAAGGCTGTTTTCAGGGAGACATCACACAAGCTGAACAGACATTTGGAGTCTCGGCCATATGTAATGACAGATCGGTGGCTTCTCAGGGCTGAGTTTAAAAATGACTGCGAGGCGACATCATTTTGGCAGAAGCATCATTATCCCTGGGAGAGAAAACTTCCCAATATATACCCATCCTTCAAGTGAGCAAAGTGTGAGTCTCCCCAACTGAGACATGAAGCTTAAGCAAATCAGTTTGACCAAAGGATCCTTCTGAATGCGAGCCGTGTTCTCCTACCTAAGCAGAGAGGGTTAGACAAAAGCAACCTACGATTCGCTGGTCGGTGTAATCCCCGCTGCTGTACGAGGTGGCCAGAGTAGAGGAGCACTTCTCAGCGTACCAGGGGGATAGGCCTTGCTGCGAGGCACTGCTGATGGAGATGGTGTAGATACTGTCCGTGTACCCATCACAGTCACAGTTATCTCCCTGACGCCCCCCATTCCCAGAAGCCCAGACGAAGATAGAGCCCTTTCCTTGTCTCCCCTAAAGGAAAAGCCAAAACATATCACGTCTATTATCATCACTGGGGTCACTGTCACATCCCAATAAAATCCCCAACAAATATATAAATACATGCATGAAGTTCTCAGAAACAGTAATTTGGAGTCTGTTTCAACTCCAGGTCCTCCAGCATCGATATTGGAACTCTCGCGAGACTGTATGTTATAAGCCACTGAGCTCTGGTGCTGCCAGCCCTCCTCCATCTGGGCCCTCTCTGGGATGGCCGCTGAGTGAGGACTTTTCTTTTTTTTTCTTTATTATGTGGATTCATAATCTGGCCTTCGGCACTCACTCAAATTTTTTCACTGTTCCCTTGGCTTATGTCACTACGCTTGAATCTTTGAACTTTCTTTCTGCTTAAATCTTCTGGCTGACTGATAGAATGACAAAATCAGGCATTATTCAGATCTGCTTTGCAGCTGCATTAAAAGGGACTCTTCAATTGAATGGAACTCGTCAAGGCTACCCTTTCTATGATTTTTCAATTTGTGCTCTCCAAAATTCCTACTTTTGTTTCATCCTGTGCAGAACGAGGCCTTAGAATCCTGGCAAGAATGCACTAAACCCCAGTGACAGAGCAACACAACCAAGGCACAAGTATTCATCAGGCACGTGCAGAGAGGGAGGTGGCACATTGCTATGTTTAAGGATGCATTTTCAGAGTATTTGAAAGAAGTCTGGGTAGTGGTTTACCTCATGTAGAAATGCAAAAGCAGCAGGAAAATGAGAAGGGACATATCCAGAGTATTTTTGAAAGTAAATATTCTAAGACTAATGAATATCTGTTGAATGTCAGACCCAAATGGGGAAAACTTTCTTAACCCTTAACTTCCAACCCTCTGAAGAACGATTTGGCTCTCTAAATGCACTTCAAATCATAAACAATAACAAGAAGTTCACAACCATTTCTTTGCATGTAAACTAAGTGTCCTTCCCTTCTCCTCATATTCAAATGGTCAGGTTTCATTTCAAGTGGGTCTGTGTTAAGCATCTCACCTGTTTGACACCATATTCAAAAGCCTTCTGGGCTAGTCGGCCAGGCCCCTCCACAGTTTTCCCATCATCATTAGGGCCCCAGCTCGCACTGTAAATATCCACATGTCCAGGATTAAATCCAATTGAGCTGGCTTCAATAGCATCCGTCACAATGCCATCGAGCATTCTTATCCCTGAACAGCAAAACAGACAAATACATATGTTGATGTCAGTGTGTACGTGTAGAATGGCACGATGCTCTTAATATTCATTTTTTTTAAAGGACTCTCAAAAGAGTCAAAAATAGGTAACCAGTGTATGTCCCAAATGACTGTGACCCAGCTGCTAAAAGCACAGCAGGAAGATCAAGTCACCCACCGCCTGTATAAGCTTCCTTATGTGCTGTGCTGTGCTGTGGCCATGGTTGTTGTCGCTTACAAAATGTCTCCCCTCCCTCTGCTGCCCTGATAACCTGAAAATGACAGGATAGCTTTCAGAAAGAGGCATCAAACAGCTCTCTCTCAACATTCCTG